TCAATAAATAAATAAATAAAAGGTTAGATGAGAAAAAACAACTTTTTTACGGTACTTAAAGTTTCATGCCGTTTTCGGCACTCATCAGCCATATATTTAAATCAAGAAAAAACCGTTCAAAAATACAATTAAAAATTCAATTAAAAAAAAAAATTATCAAATTCTTCTACCAAAGAAATATTTCAACAGGCTGTTCCTCTATATAATGAGGCTTTATTAAAGTCTGGTTTTAAATGTAATCTAACATATAATCCTAAAGCAATATCAACTAAAAAACGGAACAGAGCACGCAACATCATTTGGTTTAATCCTCCATTTAGCAAAAATGTTAGCACCAACGTAGGAAAATGTTTTTTGAAATTAATTGGCAAACATTTTCCTAATAATAACAAACTACATAAAATCTTTAACAGGAACACAGTCAAAGTTAGCTACAGTTGTATGCCAAGTGTGAAATCGATCATAAATTCGCACAACAAGTACATTTTATACAACGATGCAAACTCTAATCAAGAAAACTGTAACTGCTTAGATAAAAATTTCTGCCCGTTGTCCAATAGATGTTTAACAAGCAGCATTGTATACCAAGCAACTGTAACCACCACTAGTGATTCATCTCCTAACGAAAAATCCTACATCGGTGTAAGTGAGACTTCTTTTAAATTGAGATACGCTAACCACGTTAAACCTTTTAACATCCCAAAATACAAAAATGATACTGAGCTGTCAAAGCAGGTATGGAAAATAAAAGAAGCCAATTTAGTTCCTATAGTTAAGTGGAAAATTCTCAGGCGATGTAAAGCATATAATCCTACATCCAAATCTTGTAAATTATGTCTCACCGAAAAATATGAAATCCTAAATTATAAAAATACCAATCTACTAAATAAAAGGAGTGAGATTGTTTCTAAGTGCAGACATAGAAACAGATTCCTCCTTTCTCAATTTGACACTGGCGATTAGAAAATATGTTTTTTCCATAATATTATTATTATTGTTAATATTATTGCTATTATTATTATTATTATTATTATTATTATTATTATTATTATTATTATTATTATTATTATCATTATTATTATTATTGTTATTATTATATTATTATTATTATTATAATCATTATTATTTTTGCTATTATTTGTATTATAATTATTTGACGTCAGAACTCATTCCATTGTTTTTTTTGAATTTTGTAACGGTTTTTTAATTGTATTTTTGAACGGTTTTTTCTTGATTTAAATATATGGCTGATGAGTGCCGAAAACGGCATGAAACTTTAAGTACCGTAAAAAAGTTGTTTTTTCTCATCTAACCTTTTATTTATTTATATATATATATATATATATATATATATATATATATATATATATATATATATATATATATATATATATATATATATATATATATATATATATATATATACATATAATTATTATTCCTATTATTATTGTATATTATATATGTTATTATTATTATTATTTTATATCATACTAATAAATGTTATTTTTTTTATTCAATATGTCACTTTTCCTTTGTATTTATAAAGCCTAACGGTATAATTTTTTGATGAAAAGTAACTCTTGCTACCTCTTGCTACCTGTAGAACAAGGTGACCTAAGACCGTATACCATGTCCCATAAAATTTTTTTTGGTTTTGAAAGTAGTCTAAAAAAGTACATTCTAAAACTATCAAAATTTAAATCATTTGTTGATAGCTTTTTGACACAACTTAGTAAGAAGTTTTATAAATAATGATGTTTTCTTATTAAAATAATATTTTTCCGTCAGCCATTATAGTTATTTACTTTTTGTAATTACAACAATGCAATTGGCTATAATAATATTAGTTAGTTTCTGATTGGCTTATAGTTATTGTTGCTTAAAAGATTTGAACAACATTTATAAATACATTTTAGCAATAACAGCAACTTTATTTAGTTATTTATATAAAAAACACTGTTAAATTTAATTGAACAGTGTTTTTATTTAACAGTTTGCACATATAAGAACCAATTAAAAAATTTAGGAAGTATTTCTCAAAAAAGATAAAAAATGAAGTATTTCTCAAGAAAGAAAATACTTTGCTAAAGATCATAACAGGTTTTGAAGTTTTGCATTTTAAAACTTAAATCCAAATGATTATATTAAAAAGTTTGATTATATTAAAAGTTTTTCACAAAGCTTCAGAGGTCTTGGTTCAAATACTTCTTTTAAAGTTCATATAGTGGAGTATCATGTTGAAGAGTTTATTGTTATGAAAGGAGGAAAGTAATTATTTAGAAAAATAACAAATAACTTTTTAATTTTTTACATATAAAAATATATATTAAAAATTTTGAATTAAGGATTAGGGTATTAGGGTAAGCATTGGAATCAATTCATCATCAGCCCATAGTCATCATTGGAATCAGTCCATCACGATTTCAAACAGTTTTAGGAAGTATGAAAGTTAGGGCAACACAACGCCAATTTTAATAAAGAGCTGTCTATATGTACAACACAAGACATTTATAGTTAAAAATATAAATAAAAAGTATTTACTTTATAACTTTAGTTAAATGTAGTGTTTTTGTTTTAGTAAATATTTCCTTTTTTAAAAAGACTAATAAATTTGAATTTTTTTTATCACAAATCTAAAGATGATTTTATTAAGCCATTATATTCCTACTTTATCCTCTTTAATAAAAAAGATAGCTAACTTTTAAAATATGATAAATTAGTCAATATTCTAACTAGAAAGTCCAATTTTATCAGAAGCTATTTCTAAATTCGATCCGCAAAGTGTCAATTTACTAGATTAAACAACTAAACAAATTATATACAACTGTTTGTTCCACTCAGGTTTGATTCACTTAGGGCGAGTCAGATTAAAATAAGTCTTATAGCTTAATTCTCAAAAAGCTATCAAAAATGATTTAAATTTTGATAGTTTGAATATGCACTTGGACTACTTTCAAAATTAAAAAGAAAATTCATGGGATATGATATAAAGTTTTAGGTCACCTTCAGGGTACCAGAGTTACCTTATGCTTTAGTAGAATAACATGTTTTTAGTTTATTATCATATTATTTTGTGTTGATTTGTGATGCAAAAAGTCTTTCTAAAGTTGCTCATAAAATTGTAGAATAATAGTATATTTCTAAACTCTGAGTTTAAAAAGCCTATAGTTTGTAATAGTAACTAAAACTCAGTAGAGGTCTGTAAACCTTATCTAAAACGCTCATTCTAAAAATATGCTTGTCGCACATTTTAATGTATAATATTATTTGTCTAAAACCTTTTAAAATTAAAACTTACGTTATATATATATATATATATATATATATATATATATATATATATATATATATATATATATATATATATATATATTATATATTATATATTATATATATATATATATATATATATATATATATATATATATATATATATATATATATATATATATATATATATATATATATATATATATATATATATATATATAACGTAAGTTTTAATTTTAAAAGGTTTATATATATATATATATTATATATATTATATATATATATATATATATATATATATATATATATATATATATATATATATATATATATATATATATATATATATATATATATATATATATATATATATATATTTATATATATATATATATAGATTAGAGAGGGGGGGGGGAGAATTGAAATATGGCAAAATTTAATAAACACGGTTAGATTCTAACAGTTTTATTATCTTCTCTAAACACAAAAATATGAAAAGTTTAAAATGTGTTAAATATGGGTGTAGTAATTTTTTTAATTATTTTTTATACAAAGAAACAGCGATGCTCACGAAAAGAATACATTTGCAACACAAGATATAAGGCCAAATACGACGCATTCTCTTAGAGTAAGCTTAAAATTATAACATAAAAGATTTTTTTATATCTACTGAAATTTAATTAAAAGCTGATGATAAAATTTTAATTTTCTGAATTTGTTTTGTTTAGACGGAGATACTCTTAAGTAAAAAGTCGGGTTTGTTTTACAATAATCGGATAACCCATAACGACCATCATATGATGAGCAAAGCCTTTGAAGAAGAAAGTGAAAATGAGTTTAATACATTTGTTTTATGGGGTTAGTTTATTAGTTGTTTTATTTATTTATTTTTAATGATAATTTCAGTCTTTAATTTAACTTATGTTAGAAGTTATAATTTAATTTTAAAAAACTTTTAACAAAAAACATTTATTTAAGGTCAACCATTAATTTCAACTCAAAAATCGTTTTCTCATTTGCCACAAAAAAAAAGTCGGAACGGAAACAAGTAAATGAAATATGAAGCATAGTGTAAATAAATGTAAATAACTAGATAGTTTAATAAAATAAAATTTAAAGAAATGTTCTTTCTTATCTCCATTTCAAACTTGTAAATATTCTTCTTTCTGCTGACTACGTACGTAACTAGATGTAATGAAAATTTATCGGAGCCGCTTTAAACTAACATTTTCAATTTACAAGTTGTAAACGATATTTAATAAATGTTTTTGTTTAACTCTTTAATAATAAAATAAAATTGTTTTGGTATCATCACTCTCAAGTTTGATAGAATGCTACTGCTTCCTAAAATTTAGATCTTCGTTATATCTTTCGATTTGAAATTATTGAAGCTGGAGAAAATCAATAAAGAAAACCGACCTTTCGGAGCATGAGTCGAAGCTCTATCTGTATTCATTATATATATATATATATATATATATATATATATATATATATATATATATATATATATATATATATATATATATATAAAGAATACAAATTTGTCAATATAACAACTAAAAAACAAATTAAAAAATCTACACGTGACAATAAAATATATTTAGCAAAAGATAAAAAATAATCCAAAACGCTTCTATGCATACGCACAAAGGAAAAATCAAATGCATACAAAAATACTAGTATCTGAAACTAGTGACAATAAAATAATAACTGATAAGAATGCCATTGCTAATTTACTAAAATCTAGTTTCAGTTTCCAATTAGTATTTGTCAAAGAAAACCATTATCTACCACATTTCGTTAATTATTTGAATGATTAAGAACTAAAAGAAGATATTATACTTAATTATTTATTAAAATTTATTGGAAACAAACCTCTTGGTTGCAATAACATCAGTCCCTATGTGTTAAAGTATTGTGCAGAAAGATTATCTAAACCTTTATCTATAATTTTCAAGAAATCGATTCATTCACGAGAACTGTCAGAATTATGGAAATATGCAAACATTACACCACTTTTAAAAAAATGAGATTTTTTAAAAAGAAGAATCCGCTCAATTACAGACCGATCTCTTTAACATAAGGTTATGGAAAAAATGATTTAAAAAAAGCTGATAATAAAGAGATAACAAAGAGTGGTAATGAGTAAAGTTATATCAAATTGGTGCAACCGGTGTACCACAGTTATATATCAATGATCTTCCTGAATGTATCTTTTTAACTGCAAAACTATATGCAGATGATACTAAAATCATATCTGTTAAAAAAGAAACGATCTAATTAATATGCAAAACGACATAGATTTGTTAACTACATGGTCTGTTAATTGTATGGTTTGGTCTGAATGGTTTGTTAACTGGTTGGTCTGAATTGTTAACTGTATTGTTAACGGAGTTTAACATAAGTAACTACACATTGGAAAAGAAAAAGTTAACTACAACTACACAATGAAACAAAACAATCAAGTTGAAACAAGTTTTTTTTAAAAAACAACAACAAATAAACTGACTTGTAATAGTTTTAGGTGTAATAGTTTCATCCATTATAAAACGGGTTTTATCATCAGGTTCAAGTAGCTACATAAAAAGCACAAAGAATCTTATGCCTAATCAGAAAGAGCTGAAATGATATAGCAGTTACGATTAGTTACACACCGCTGGTTCGACAAAACCTAGAATTCGCAACTCCAGAATTAGGGTTTCTTAAAAACAGGTAGTTTTAGAAAACAACTGTTTTCTGTTTTACACTTTTAAAAAAACAGCTGTTAACAGCTGTTTTCTGTTTTTCATGGAATTTACAACAAAACAGTCCAATTTTTAGCATTATTTTTTATTATAGTAAAATTTAAGGAACACGAGTGATTTCAGAGATTCGTCTGAAAGGCGTGATCGAATCTTTGTGCAAAAGTTTGATGAAGTTGAAAAAACTTGTTTAACGTCTGTGGACGTCCGTTTTATTGTAAGGAGAGCCTCGTATAATTTTTGCAAATTTTCTGATCCTTTCTGAACTTTAACGACTCAGTGTCTCAACAACAATTTTGATTGGCTCCATGGCATTTTACAACATAGACAAAGCATTAAAATTTACCTTATTGATCAGATCAAGCATATTTAATTCAGTTAATGACTCAAACAGTCAAAGTTTTGTTTTAATCAGTGGATCAATCATTGTTGGGATAGAATTCGAATGATGTTGAACGTCGAGGTGCAATTCGATTTCAGCTCTAAATGCTTGAGTTACTTTTAACTGAAATATTTGATATATAACGGTCGAGTTTCTGATATATTTGACAACATCTCGTGCATTTTTCAAAACAGAATGAAAATCGACTTCTAAATAATCTACTTACACAACCTTTATGTCATTATTTTAAAAATTGTCAACCTGATCTTCATCATCAGAGTCCGAATTTAACTCACTTTAACTAGTTCTGTCGTTTTTCTTATACAAAGTGTCAGTTACTCACAAGTGAATGCCATGATCAATCTAATATTGGTCAATAATCTTGATAATTTTCATATATTTCTTGTTAATTACTGCGCCATCTTGTGTTGTTCCAACCAAATCTTTTTCAAGTTCAATTGAAAATCTTTCCAAGTGATTTGATCTTTTTTCAACCATTGCTTTAGCATTGCACAAAACCAAAGATGCGAACTAATCCCCATTTGTATGCTTTATTTTCTTCACTACAATGCAGATTTCTAGTGATAGCTCTAATGGATATTCCGTCTGTGACCATGTCAGAAACTATTTCATTTAAGCTCTTATGTTGAACAAAATCAAGCATTGTTTTAGGTTTCTTTTCTGCTGCAACTTGTTCAGGAGGAGTTTTTTCATTTTAAGACCAATCAATTCCATGCTTTAATTTTAAGTGAGCCTTTAAGCTCGTGGTAGATTCTCCAGAGCACTTAATGACATAATTGCAGCGATTGCAAACTCTTTCTATATCCTTAGTCACAGGATTTTGACGTTTTGTTGCAAACTCCCAAACAGATGACATCTCTATTGATTAAAGTGTACATTATATATACAATAAGAATAATATCTACTTTCTAGCGAAATATTGAAATAAATAATAACAATTTAATTAGTTAAGCCAATAATATCAACAACTCGACCTCACTGTAATGTCTTGTATTCTTATTTATAGGAAAGAGAATCAGTATTATGTTTTGTTTAACATTTATTTTTATATTATATTAAACTATTTACAAGCAGTGGCGGATTAAGACTTCTTTTTTTAGGCTCTGGCCCATAAAAAGGCCTCCAAAAACAAAAATAGCCCGGGGCTATTTTTGTTTTTGGAGGCTTTTTTATGGGCCAGAGCCTAAAAAATGACTTGAAAAAAAAAAAGGCCTCTTAAATATTTGGTGGCCCCTAAATTTGCGGGGCCCGGGGCTATAGTCCCCCTAGCCCCCACTTGATCCGGCACTGATTACAAGTAATTATACCTCAGAAGACAAAGGTCGGTTGTCCAGTTTTTTGTAAAAATGAGTTATGTATCATACCTTTCAAGTTTTTTCAGTATCTACACAGAGATATAACGACTGTTGTCCTACAACAATGTGAAAAAAAGTTTTTTTTATATTTATTTTTTACTTTTTAGTCCATTGAAAAATGTTGCCTTGTAAAATATTTTTTTTAAATATATATTTTAATGATTTCTTTTATTTACGCTAAACTAAAGTATGTTTGGCGTCCTTGGTTTTAATTACTCTTTAACGATTTCATTTATTTGATATATAAACAAATTATTTTACAATTTCTGAACAATTATTGAACAATTTCTAAAATGTGACAATGAACCGACCTTTGACTTCTGAGGTACAGATATATATATATATATATATATATATATATATATATATATATATATATATATATATATATATATATATATATACATATATATATATATATATATATATATATATATATATATATATATATATATATATATATATATATATATATATATATATATATATATATATATACAAATAGTATTACGTACGAAGGAATCTGACATCATACTGAAATAGCCTGCTGCTGGGGGCTTCAGTACATACATCGACTGACAAATAGCCTGACTCGCAGTGGAGTGCTGCTACGTCGACTGAGGGTTTGGGATGGGGAAGCAATCGTTTTATTCATCATTCTTCGTTTTTTCTTCTTTTTTTTCGAAAAAAAACTTATTCGAGCAAATGCTTATCAAACACGCTTTAGTAAGTGTGTGTATATATATATATATATATATATATATATATATATATATATATATATATATATATATATATAACCTGGATCTCCTGCTTATATATATATATAATATATATAAGCAGGAGATCCAGGTTCTAAACGTGCTCTGGACATATTTTCGTGAACTTCCTGTTTAAATGCACTTTCGCGGTGCTCTGTGACAAGACCGTTAGGTCTACTTGGGGCACCTAAGTTATTTATTACCCAATGGCAAAGCATTTTAAACGTCACTCCCAGCCGGCACATCTCGTATTGTAAATAGCCAGAGTAGTTATCGCGTATTATAAACATACTGTTTATAAATATTAGTTTATAAATAAGTTATAAATACGAGTTTAATACCACATTTTAATCAAAATACGCATAACCGTGCCCGGTTTTGTTTAGATATAAACATTTAACAAAAAAGTTAAAATTAGGGTACAGATTTTTTATTATTAAGTATTTTAATATTATGTTATTATCATCAAGTTCATTAATATAATATTAAGTTATAAGAAAAGATATTGTTCAGTTAAATCACTATCACAGTTATCATATACTATTATTAAAAGGTGTCATCATTAACTACTCATTACTGCAAACTGTAATGGGAATATATCTACTATCGTATAATATATGTGATAATAGATAATAGACTCAAACAAAACCAGAAGTATAGATAAAATAAATCTATCTGTACTTCTGGTAAATATATTGTTGCTGTTGTTGTTGTAGATATACCTCCATTACAGTTTGCACTGATATGTTGGTATATGTAATAATACTTTAGCAGACCAATAAACATTGTTCGGCTAAAGCATTATCACGTATATCAACATATTATTGGAAACTGCAAATACAGTTTGTACTGAAA